TTTTAGTTTATGAGTTTTATTATATTAAACAATGAGTACCTAACATGAAAAAGTCACAAAAATAAAGTATTGAGTTTTTAGTATTTATTATTTATAAAAAAGCATAAAAATTTTCAACATCAACTGGTTTTTGGTGTACAAAGTATAAAAAAGAACTTCAGAAATAAATTCCCATATGAGCTGCAATGAAAACACCAATAGCACGCTATAAAAAATAATAATCTTTACTTCAATTATCACACCTAAAGCAGTCTGAATACACGACAACAGCACGTTCCATACATACACATTGCTTACACTGACAGCACATGTCTTTTGCTTTCCTGGCCCTTTTTTTTTTTTTGGTTTTTCTCCGGTACCGGGAACCAAACTCACGACCTTGCGCTTGCCAGGCAGGCGCTTTTGCCGCTGAGCTAAATCCCCAGCCCCTTCCTGGCCCTTTTGTAGGACACACTGACATCTCAGTGATCTTACTGGGGCTTTTTGTTTGTTTGTTGGGGTTTTGTTTTTTGCCTTTTATTTATTTATTTATTTGGTACTGGGAATCAAACTCAGGGCCTTGTGCTTGCCAAGCAAGCACTGTCTTGCTAAGCTACATCCCCAGCCCTTGTTTTTGGTCTTTTTGAGACAGAGTTTAGCTATGCAGCTCAGGCTGGCCTTGAATTCACTTTGTAGACCAGGCTGGCCTCAAACTTGCAGCAATCTTCCTTTTTCAACCTCCCCATTGCTGGGATTACAGGCATGCGCCACCACGCCAGGCTCAGTCTTGCTGTTTTGTCAGGAAGTTCTTATTATATTATACAGTGAGTGTGTAGTTAACAGGAAAATAAAATATCAATGAAATAAATTATTAAATTATCATGTACTGTGTGTTTAGACATCAACATTTTCACATCAGCTGTGTACTTCCTTATAAAACCTAAAAGATAACATTGGAAATAAAGTCCTATATGAACTGCAATGAAAATACCGATAGAACACTACCACAAAAATAAGCTTTGCTTCAACTATCACACACAAAGTAGTCTTCACACATGACAACTGCATGTTCCACGCACACGTCTCACTTACACTGACAGCACATGTGCTTATTTTTCCTTTCCTATGTGGCAGTCTTGTCATCTCTCTTCCCATTTTGTCAGGAGCTTCCTTCTATATTGTATGCACGCACTTAACAGGGAGATCGGATGTCAATAAAATACAATATCAAGGATGTAATGAGTGCTTAGACTAGACATCAACATTTTTCACATCAGCTGTTCACTTGCTTACAAAACCTAAAAGATAATATCAAAAATAAAACTAATGTGAGCTACAGTGTAAACACAAACAAAAGTCTACCACAGAAATAAGATTTGCTTCAACTGTCACACCCAAGGCAGTCTTCGCATATGACAACTGCCTGTTCTATACACAGGTATTGCTTTACATGGACAGTACATATGGTTTTTCTTTCTGTACTTTCTTGTAGGGCACAGTTGACTTTTTTGTTTTGTATGCCTGTTGTAGCAGGGCTTCGTGATGCTGCACCTGCCTGTTCACCTATCAGCTCACCAGGGTGCTCCACAATTCTTTTGTGTAGTTCCCTGGTAGAAACATTTTGTTTTTCCTCTGCTGTAAATGATCTCTTATGAGGTCCAGTCCCAATCCTCTTCTCTGTGATATTTTATGTCAAGGGCCATTCCATATAATTTTGGGGGAAAAATCGTATCATAATTAAATTGTAATTAGGGGTTGTCTGAGGCCTAGTATCTTTGTCATTTGAGTTGGCTGTGGTATGCAGAAACATAACTCCAGGTGCCTCTGGTCACAGTTGAGGTCTCAACCGTCCCATGATGTTGCGATGCTCTGGGGCAAGATTACATTAGCTGAAGACATCCTGGTTCCTTGAGAACTGAGTAGTAATAAAAAAAGGTTTCATCTGGAGGAAAGGACAAACTTCTTATTAACCTGCCATCTCTCCCCATCATCCTCATCAACATAAAATCCTTATTAATTTAAAACACCATCACCCTCTGAGTCATCCAACAATCCCATCATTTCCTAATGTAAATGTCAATAATAAATCAATAAATACAAGGTTCTGGCTGCCTTGTGGCCCCTTCTTCCCCATGAACAACTGGCCATCCTGGATGCGTGTTTTATTGCTACTTGTCTCTTACTCTTGCTTTTTGCCATGCACTGTAACACCTTGCAGGAAATTGTGGATTTACTGCACAGGTCCAGATAATTTTTCACTTTTTATTTTCTTTGCAAACTATCGGTGTATTTATGCCACACGCTTAGGATCAAGTAAAATACAGCCATTGGCCAATGGTTTGTGTTTCAAGTGACATCACAGTTGCCACATAACTCATCAACATCTATTCCATATTTGGTTTTGTTGAAAGTTTCCATTTCAGGCTTCTGTTTTGTCGAGGTTTCCCTATCAATATTTCCATCATGGTGAAATGTTGACATCAGCAGTACCACTTTGCTTTTCCTTTGCCATACATGAGGCTGTAATGAGACCTCAGTGAAGCTAGCCTGTTTTGATTTTTCTCCGGTACCGGGAACCGAACTCACGACCTTGCGCTTGTCAGGCAGGCGCTTTTGCCGCTGAGCTAAATCCCCAGCCCCAGCTAGCCTGTTTTGAGAACAAGGTCTCATTAAACTGCTAAATTGCCCAAACTGAGCTTGGATTTGAGATCCTCCTGCCTCAGCCTTCCAGAGTGCTGGGATCACAGGTGTGTGCCACCATGCTTAGCTATATGGGCCTGTAAGGACAAGAGACTATCTTTATGCCCTTCCTCTAGTGTCCAATAGCCAAGGTCAAAGCCCCTGGGAGCATCATATCCAAATGAGTCTGTCAGAGGACACTAGTCCCTTCTGGTTGCCAAATTCTGTGGCATCAATCTGGCTTCATTCACCAGCCTGCCATCAAGAATGAGAAAAGCCCTAAAAGTGAGAAAATGAGTTCACTCACACTTCTGCGGGCAGCAAGTCTGCCCCTGATGTGCACTGGGTTCTTCTGGTGCCGGGTGTGTGTGTGTGTGTGTGTGTGTGTGTGTGTGTGTGTGTGTGTGTGTGCGCGCGCGCGCGCGTGAAAAACCAATCCACAGCCATGAATGCATAGATGGACCAGCCTGGCCTGCCCACTGGCCCAGGAAAGAGAATGCCAGGTTCTACTGACATTTCCTTGGCTCTCAGCATGAGGAAGGCGGACAAGCAGCTTGCTTTTAAAACTCCACACCGGGGTACTTGACGGCATATGCCTACAATCCCAGCCCTGAGGCTGGAGTGGACAGAGCCAAATGAGTGCCTCAGTTTGGGTATATACTGAGTTCAAGGCCAACCTGAACTACATAGCAATACTGTCTCCAAAAACCACAAAAGGAAAGAAAGAAAATAATCCTTCCTATCAACTTCACATTTTCACATTTCCATTACAGCACTTCACGTAAGTCCTGCTTAGCCGTCATGAATTTCTTGTAGGAACAATAATTGCTCTTCCAACAGAGCGACCCCTGTCTGAGACTGATGATTTCTTAGTTCATTTATACTTTGCAAAAGCATTTACTGAATGTGAGGCAAGAGAATCGTGAAGTGAAACTCAGCCTGCCTAAGTAAATACAGTACAATACAGATTAGCCAGTCTTTGTAAATACTTTGATTAGTTCACTGACAGGCTTCTACAAAAGAAACCGCATGTTACCCTAAAAGAATTGAAGCTGGGCATAGTGGCACACGCCTGTAATCCCAGCACTCAGGAGCCTGAGACAGGAAGATCGCTGCAAGTTCAAGGCCAGTCTGGGCTACAAAGTGAGTTCAAAGCCAGCCTGAACTGCTGTGAAACCGGCTCAAAAAAAAAAAGAAAAAAAAAAAATTGAAACTTTCAAGCCAGGCGTGGTGGTGCATGCCTGTAATCCCAGCCTCTGGGAGACTGAGTTAGGACTGTAGCGAGTCTGAGGACAGCCTGGACTGCAAAGTAAATTCAAGGCTGGTCGGGCTTGAGATTGTGACCCTGTCTCAAAAGAACAACAACAACAAAAAAAAAACACGAATTGATACTTGGCTGGGCATGGTGGTGCACATCTATAATCCAAGCACTCTAGGAAGCTGAGACAGGAAAATTGCAAATTCAACCCAGCCTGGGCAATCTAGCGATTTAGCAAGACTCAGTCTCAAAATTTAAAAAGAATTGGGGATGTAATTTAGGTAAAAGGTCCTGGGTTCAATTCCCAGTACCAAAAAAAAGAGGCGGGGGGACATCCTAACCAGACTAGTTTGAGTGGATTTGTTGTTTATCAAAATCAGCCACTCCTAGGAAGGAGCTAAATCAATAAAGGAGCGAGGTACTGTGGTACATGCCTGTAATCCCAGCACTTGGGAGGCTTGGGCATAAGTTTCGCCACAAGACCAGTCTGGGATGCACAGCAAGACCTTGTCTCAAAAAACTTTAAAAAAAATTTTTTTCTAAAAATTGTTCTTCCTTAAACCGGAACGTGTACTCGGTAAAACCACCTGCAGCTGAGCAGAAGCTCAGGCGCCTGCGCGTGCGCACGGCCGCTCCGCCGAGCCTACGTGACAGGCCTTGAGTTAGTCATGGCGTCTGGCGAGGGAGGCGCCAGCTCCGCCCACGAGGAGTAGCAGAGCTGACAGACGCCGAGCTGACAGCGCGGCTCGCCAGGAAGGTGGGCTTTGAGCCGAGAAGCCCCAACAGCCCCGACTCGGCCTCCTCCGATGGCCCACTCCCTCTCCCTTCCGCGCTCTCCATTATGGAATATACCGTCCGATCCGCGAGAAACGGAAACCGACAGTGCCCACCCGTGCAACTTCTGACGGGGCTTCTAAGGTCCGCCCCGCGTGCTCTGAGTAGCTCAGCGTCCGAGCCTGCCCCCCTGAGAGTCCTCATTGGCTGAGCAGAACCGTAGGGGTGGGGTCCGCAGCGGCCTCAGCGGGTTTCTTAGTGGCCCAAGGGTGTGGCTCTTCCTCTCTAAGCACTCTCATTGGCTGAGTGGGCCTTTGGGGTGGGGCCGCTCCGGAGCGAAGACAACAAAGGCGGCGGGCGGCGGGCAGCTGTGTGCGTGTCTCTTGGTTCTCCCATCCGCCGAGGCGTTCTTGCCTCCCTCCCGCCCTGCTCCAGATGAAGTGTGAACACTGCACGCGGAAGGTGGGCCGCGGCGGGCGGGGGCGAGACAGGGCGGGGGCCGAGGGCGAAGACCGGCGGCTCGGCCGGCCCGACAGGCACGGGGGCGAGCGCCGCGTCCGCTGCGAGCCACGCCGATGCCCTCCGCGGCTGTGCCCGCGCCCTCCTGCGCGCGCAGCCGGCGTGGGCGGGGGGTTGCAGGGGTGGCTCCCACCCTCGGGACCTTAGCGTCCCTAGTGACGGGGAGAACTCTTTGAAATGGAGAGGGAAGCGGGAACCCCCGGGCCCCGCACCGTCGGGCCGCCGCACTCCCGCGCGGTGATAGAGGTGGAGCGCGCCGCCAACCCTGCTCTGTAACGGGGTGTGGGGTGCAGGGGCGTGAACCCGGGCGCCTTTGCACTGAATTGCATCCCAGGCCCTTTTTTACAACAGGGTCTTGCCAAGCTTCCAAGTGGTCCCGAGTGGGCTCAAGTTTTGAGTCCCCCTGCCACAGCCTCCCAGAGTGCAAGGATTACAGACTTGTACCGCCGCACCCGGCTATAACTTGCCCTCTTTTTGTTGTTGTTTTTCACTTAACACTATATCAGAGAATTGCAGTCATTCTGGTTCATGCTTTGTATGAACTGCGTCGTACGGTAAATGTCCCTGTGTCTGAGGAAGTCGCACGCTAGCCTGGTGGGGGAAGGCCACACCACTTGGAGTTCATCCTTACCGCAAATGGTATGGATGGAAGAGTGAATGTGTGCATATAGCTGCTTTTATTTCTGTAAAAAAAGATTTCTGGACTGGATCTTAATATATATACGATGTGTGTGTTTTTAAAGAAGAACTAGGTTAAAAGTTACGCTTTAACAATATTCTCTTCCCTTTTTAAGGAATGTAGTAAAAAGACAAAAACCGAGGATGAAGAGGATGTGTCAGTTGATGCACCGAGTCTGGCCCAGGAGAATGGTGAGGCAAGTGGATTGTTCAGTTTTATGTCAACATAAAGTAAGGGGCTGCTGCTGTTTTTCTTCTGTTTGGAGGTCCATGTCATGATGCATGGCATTGCTGGAAGAAGGACTGAAGTACAGCCTGGCATGGTGGCGTACACTTGTAATCCCAGCTGTCCGGGAGGCTGAGGCAGGAGGATCACTGAGTTCAAAGCCACCCTGGGCTACATAGTGAGTTCAAGGCTAACCTGAACTACACAGCAAGGCCCTGTCTCAAAAAAAAGACTGAAGTAAAATTGAAGCTGCTAAAACCCACATGTAGAACTGTCCACCAACACCCCACAGCCTGTCTTCTCAACCACACTAAGCCAAAACTCCACTTTAGCAACAAAAACATGGTGGTATAATATTTAAACCTCAAATCTGTTGTGTGTAGTGTATTTGTGTGTATTCTGGGAATTGAATCCCCAGGTGCTATACAACTGAGCTACATCCTGGCCATTTATTCATCCATTTGTTTGTCCATCCGTCCATCCATGGGTAAATGACAGGGTCTCGTGCAGCGTAGGCTGGCCTCTAACTTGGAGCAATCTTCCTGCCTCAGCCTCCCAAGTTGCTGGGATTACAGGCATGCACCACCACTCCTGGCCCTTTATTCTGGCCTATTGCCCAGATTAGTCTCAAATTTAAAATTCTCTTGCCTCAAATTGGGCATGATGGAGCACACCTGTAATCTCAGCGCTTGGGAGGCTGAGACAGGAGAATTGCTGCAATTTAGGGGCAAGCCTGGACTACACAGGAGACCCTACATCAGAAAATTTAAAAAAAAATTTCTCCTACCTCAGCCTTCAAAACAGCTAGAACTATAGGCATGTGCCACCATGCTCAGCAAAACCTCAGATCTTTTTGATGGAAACTGCTGTTCTGTAAAATGAGCGTTGAGATAGAACATCTATAAAATAACTTAAATTTTGTGACTAAACTTTTGCTTTAAACAGCTTCTTCTCTCATTTAGTTCTTGCTTTTGAGTCCTCCTTAGCTAGGAGTGATGGCTTGTGTGTGTTTGTTCTGTGCTAGGCTTCAGGTGTGCTCTCATGTCGTGCTTACGTGGGCAGGTGTTTGAGGTACGCCCCACAAGTGTTCCCCATTCACAGAGAATGGTATGGTGTGGGGAGGGTAGAGTCACTTCTTTTAGAAAATCCTAGAAGCCGGGCATGGTGGCACACACCTGTAATCCCAGCACTTGGGAGGCTGAGGAAGGAGGATCGTTGCAAGTGCAAGACCAACCTGGGTTACAAAGTGAGCCGAAGGCCAACCTGAACTACATAGCAAGACCCTGTCTTAAAAAGACAAAAGAAAAGAAAAAGAAAATCGTAGAAGCCAGGCATGGTGGTACATGCCAGTAAATCCACTCAGGGCAGTTGAGACAGGAGGATTCCAAGTCCAAGCCTAGTATGAGTAACTCCTACCTTGTCTCCAAAAACAATTTTTTTTTTGAGACTGTCTTCCCTCTGTTGTTCAGGCTGGGCTTGAACTCAGTATGTAACCCAGGCTGGTTTCATGCACAGCAGTACTCCTGCCTCAGCCTCCCGAGTGGTGGGATTACAGGTATGTGCCACCACACCCAGCCTCCCTAGTCAAAATTAAAATTTTCTTTCTTTTTTTTTTTTTCACTGAGACAGTCTATCTGTGTGGTTCAGGCTGGTCTTGTACTTACTGTGCAGCCCCTGCTGGCCCCAAACTCTTCCAAGTGCTGAGATTACAGGCATGTGCCATGCCGGCTAAATTCAGTAGTTCTAAGGTGCCATTTAACCTGACAGGCCTCTACCTGGTTACCCTGTGTGCCAGCGTTGTGGAGACTGAGGTTTACAACCAGCAGGGCAGGAGACAAGCTCACTGAGCTGGCCACCAGCAGCAGAGGGGGGACGTGGAGCCGGGAGACATTGGGGGTGAGGACTGTGTAGCAGCCAGTCCTAGGGGCCCTCCCCATGCCTGTCCCTGGTAGCATCAGCTCAGACAGAAATGTAGCAGCCCAGGCTTGGTCAGCATGTGGCCAAGGAGAGGCCCAGGTAGGTGGCATGGGGAGCCGTGGAGGTGCTCCTTGAGGAGGGGAAAGCCTCAGGTATGTATTGGGGTATTTGGGACTGGGGACATGAGCAGCAGGTGTGAGCTGCTAGAAGCAGGGGGAGAAAACCCCAAAGCCATTTGGGAGGCCTGGTGAGCCAGCCAGAGGTTTGAAGTGAGAGTGCACCAGCAGGGAAGGCCGGCTGCTGCGGAGTGGGTGATAAGAGCCTGCAGCATGCAAGAGACAGGAGGGGACAAGAAGGGAGGGTAGTGGTCCAAGGTCCAGCCCAGGACCCTGAAAACAGCTCTTGAGGTGTTGAGGGTCACCCAGGGCCAGCCTGGGTGGACCTGAGCACCAAGGGGGCTTGTGAGGAGAGACCAGGCAGACAAGGGCGGTGTTGTGGACTGCTGGGAGGGTTCTGCTGTCGAGTAGAAAGGTGGTTTCTGTTTTCGCAGATCTCTGGGGACTGCTGAGGCCCAGAGTACAGAGGCCTCTGTAGGAAAGGAGAGGAAAAGGGGTCAGGGTGGCTGAGGTTCTGTGGTGTCAGCATCCAGGTGAGAAGTTGCTCTGCGGAGGTGGAGGAAGGGCAGGTGTAAGCAAGCGCCTGCAGTTCAGGCCTGAATGGCGAAAGGATCTGTTACACAGGCATTTGGAGAACCTGAAGCAGCAGGGAGCTGTGCACGGTGTCCTGAGCCTAGAGGGCAAGCACTCAGCGAGCCATGGGACTAGGGGAGCCCAGGGCTTGCGTGGCTGAGGAGGCCGGCAGGAAAGCCCGCACAAGGTCACAGGACTGGGGAGGTGGCTGGCACGCAGGAATACCATCTACACATGGCGGGCTGGCTCTGGTTCTGCCCTTGTCCTGTACATGGTTCTCTGGTGTCCTTGTGGGCAGGATGCCATGCCCTGTGTGTCCCCCTGCCCCTCCCACACGCAAGCTGCTCAGAGCAGACTGTTGCCCCACATACCAGGCCTGGCCCCTGGCATCATCCCCGTTTACTGAAAGGTGTTTTGCTGATACCCTTCCTAAAGAGCACATGTTAACTCCAGGTGTTGATTTCTTCCACAGAAGGGAGTATTCCATAAATTGGCTGATGCCAAGATACTGTTGAGTGACTGCCTAGCATGTGACAGCTGCGTGACTGCAGAGGAAGGAGCCCAGCTTTGTCAGCAGAATGCCAAGGACTTCTTCCGGGTCCTGAACTTTAATAAGGTATGGTGCCCAGGACACTTGCTGACAGTGGGCCTGGGGAGCCAGTCTGGAGGTGGGCGTGCATGTCAGGGTGAGAGATATCTCCTGGTACATAGAAGTCTCTGCTGCATCATCAGAAGTATATTCAGTTTCTCCCTGTGCCACCAAAGTCTCCTGCTGCAGTACTCCTCCTGAGCCCCCCTCCATTCCTGCAGAGCCTCACTCCTTCGTGGCCCAAGGGCCAATGAGGGGATCTCCTTTTCTTTCTAGGAGGCCTCAGTCAGAGCAGATCAGGTAGCAGCACCAGAGCTCATGGACAGCTGAGGCTGTATTTTTTTGTTTTGTTTCGTCCGGTACCGGGAATCGAACTCACAACCTTGTGCTTGCCAGGCAGGCACTGTGCCACTGAGCTAAATCCCCAGCCCCTGAGGCTGTATTCTTAGAGATGAACCAGGGTGCATTTGAGAACAGAGGGCCAGGTTGAGGTGTTAGGGAAGTGCAATCCTCAGCCTCCCTCCTCCACTGTGTCCCTGCTGGCCTTTCTCACGGAACTACCAGTGTCACTGACTTTCAGTAAGATAAAAGGGGAAGAGCAGAAGGATGACAGCACTGGGGGGCCTCAGTTTATGGTGCTTTCCTGGGAATGGACATACTGTTTCACAGGAATGTTACCACCTAAAGGAAAGCCAAGCAGCCTTCCTGTCATTTGCCACCAGCCCTCTGGCATCTGCTTAGACAAGCCATTCACCATTTCTTATGGTTGCAGTGGAAATGTGGTTTCTGTTGTAAACATTAGTGGTGGCTAGATGTATCCTTTCTGGTGTGTGGCTGCCCACCAGTGGTGGTCTGGATGTGCCCATCTCAGCTACGCACCCTCCCTTCAGAAAACAGCACAGCTGCATCGTACTGTGGAGTCGGCTATGATACTGCAGTTCATCTTGGTGCACTGTGTGGGACTTGATTCTACAGCACCAGTTGTCTTTTGAAAGGCCTTAAAAGTGTGCACATCACTTAATGCTCCACATGACACAGATGGACAGCTATATCCAGCTGTCCCACCCACACTTGATATCAGATTCACAATTTAAGCCGGGTGCAGTGGTGCCCACTTGTAATCCTAGCACCCTGGGAGGCTGAGGCAAAAGGATCACAAGTTGGAACTCAACTGAGCAACTTAGCAAGTTTGTGAGACCCAGTCACACAATAAAAAATGTAAAAAGGATTAAATAGCCACCAGGTGTGGTGATGCAGGCCATAATCCCAGCACTCAGGAGGCAGAGGCAGGAAGATTGAAGCAAGTTTGAGGCTAGCCTGCACAACATAGTGACATGCTGTCTCAAAAAAAAAAAGTTTAAAAAGGATAAAATATAGCTCAGTGCAAAGGTCCTGGGGTCAATGCCAGTAGCCCACCCCCCTCCCAAAAAAATTCAGGGGTACTCTAAGCTACATCCCCAGCCCTATTTATTTACTTATTTACTCATTTGCAGTACTGGGGATTGAACATGAACGTAAGACCTTCACGTTGAGCTATATCCCCATCCCTTTTTTATTTTAAGATAGGGTCACACAAAGTTACCCAGGCTGGGCCCAAGGTTACTTTTATTTATTTTGAGACAGGGCCTGACCATGTAGTTGCCTGGCCTTGAACTCACTATGTAGCCCAGGCCAGCCTTAAATTTGTAGTGATCCTCCTGCCTCAGCCTCCCAGAGTGCTAGGATTGTAGGTGTGCACCACCACACCTGACCTAACTTCATCTTTAATTGTATTTTTTCTTCTCTTTTCTTAGGTTTGCTAGTATTTATCTGTTGGTCTGCACAAAATCTGTTGGGGTCTGTTCTGAATCTTTCATCAAAATGTCTCTCACTCGTAACCAGCGCATACATATATGACATTATTTTATTTCTTCCTTTAGAAATGCGATACCTCAAAGCACAAAGTGCTAGTTGTGTCTGTATGTCCCCAGTCTTTGCCTTATTTTGCTGCTAAATTGAACCTCAGTGTCACTGATGCATCCAGACGGCTGTGTGGCTTCCTGAAGAGTCTTGGTGAGTGGCCCTCAGTGGCACTGGGGGCAGATGGTGGGAGGATGCGAAGTGCTCCTTCTCTGGAGCACAGTCTGCATGGGCAAGAGGGATGGCAAGCCTGCAGGAGCATCTCCTAATGCAGAGGACCCTGTCCTGAGAGGCCTGCTCCCAACCTCCCGGGGACGCGAGGATGTCGCTTACCCCTGCTTGCCCCCATGGGTGTTCTGTTGCAGTAAGAGCTGACCCCTCCCAAGTGAGGGAGGGAGGGAGGCTCCCACACACGCCCAGCAGCCTCCACATGCATCATGCATGCATGCACACACACACAGAGAATGTGTTTATGTGCCAATCACATCTGAAGTGTTTGTGCCTGGTTTCCCAAAGAAGCTCTCAGCCAGATGTGGTGACACACGCCTGTAACCCTAGCACTGGGGGAGACTGAGGCAGGAGGATTGCCATGAGCTCAAGGCAGCCTGAACAACAGCAAGACTTTGTCTCAAAAGAAAAAAACCCAAGACGCTCTCCCGAGAGCAGGGTGGGGAGGGAATAGCTGCGTGCACTTTATGTGAAGAGTAAGTAAAAGGTGGTCAGTTAAGAACGTTGTCAGCTGGCAGCACTCTGAAAGCTGAAGCAGGAGGATCCAGTTATTGCCTAGAGAACTTAGCAACATAGCGAGGCAGTTTTTTGGTCTCAGAATTTTTTTTTTTTTTTTGGTTTTTCTTCGGTACCAGGAACCGAACTCACGACCTTGCACTTGCCAGGCAGGCGCTTTGCTGCTGAGCTAAATCCCCATCCCCTGGTCTCAAAATTTTAAAAAGGGAGGGTTTGGGGATATAGCTCTATGCAGAGGCCCTGGTTCAATTTCCAGTACCACCGGAAGAAACAGTATGGCAAGTTGGGTGTGACAGCACACCTGCAGGCTGAGATAGGAGATCGAGTTAAAGGCTAACCGGTGCTGTACAGTGAGGCTCTGTCTCAAAAAACAAAACAAATACAAAAACCGACCTTAGCTGTCCACACTGGAATGATGCTGCCTAAAAGATGGGCTCACTTATGCACCTGCGCTCATGTGAACTGGACTCACCGCACCAGCCGTGGCATCCATCTGTGTGCAGTGGTGTCCATAGGGCCCTGGGGTCACAGCTTGGTAGTCAGCAGATAGGTGCAGAAAAGGAGATTGTAAGTGATCAGCAAATGAGACTTTATACACAATCGTGGCTTTTTTAACTGGTGACACTGACTAGGGATTAAAAAGAAGGCCTTCATACTGAGCCACATCCTCAGCCTTTACTTTTTAAATTTTGAGGCAGTGTCTTACTAAGTCACCAAGCTGCCCAGGCTAGGCTAGAACTTGGCGATCCTTCTGCCTCAGCCTCCCAGAGTGCTGGGATAACAGGCAAGCTCCACCACACCTGACTCCATAATGGCTTTTTAAAGGTGTATAAGTACTGGGGATTAATAATAAAGTCAGTGCTTAGAATGGGCACCAGCAGAACAAGCTCTAAGTATGAGAAGTAACGGCATGGTGGACTGCACCCCCCACCTGAGGACATCACAGTCATGGCTGCATGCTTCAGGGAGCCTCAGGCTGGCCTTGCTGACCACAGACCAATGTTGTTGGCTTCTGTAGTGTCTCACTGTGAAAGACGTTTGAAATACATAATAGAAGCACATCACTTGGGAGGCTGAGGCAGAAGGATTGCCATGAGTTTGAGGCCAGCCTGAACTACATAGCTAGACCATGTCTCAAAAAAAATGTATATTACAGGTTTAATGAAAATATCTCCAGTGAAACTAATTTCTTCTTAAGACAGTACTTTAAAACTTACGTTTTTTTTCTTAGGTTTTTTGAAATGGTCTTGCTGTGTAGTTCAGGCTAGCCTTAAACTCACTATGTACCCAAGGCTGGCCACCTGCTCTCAGATATCCTCCTGCCTCAGCCTCCTGAGTGCTGGCGAACAACAAAAAAAGTAAGCCAGGTGCAACGGTGTATGTCTAAAGTCACAGCTACTCCAGAGGCTGAGGCAGGAGGATCACAAGTTTGAGGCCAGCCTAGGTAACATAGCAAGATCCTGTGTCCAAATACATTTTTCTCTCTCTCTTTTTTTTTTGTTTGGTACCGGGAATCGAACTCACGACCTCATGTTTGCCAGGCAGGCACTGTGCCGCTGAGCTATATCCCCAGCTCAAATACATTTTTTAAAGGTCTGTGGTGTAGCTCAGTGTTAGAGTATACGTGTGATCAATCCCCTGTACCACAAAGAGAAAAAACATGTAGCCAGCTGCAGTGACACGTACCTGTATTCCCATCTTGAGAAAGCTGAAGCAGGAGGATCACAAGTTTGAGGCCAGCCTGGGCAATTTAGTGAGATACTGTCTCAGAAAAGGCTGGGATATAGCTCAGTGGTAGAGGCTTGCAGTGCAGTCCTGACCAGGTGCCATCAGTAAGAGAAGAGGGGCTGGCTTGCAAGACAGGTGCCATAGAACCTGTTCCCTAGATCTGTCTCCACGGAGCAGCAGAAATGAGTCCACTGGCAGGCCGGGCTAGGTGTGTGCTCATGCTGTGCTGAAAACCACCCTCTTCCTCTTTCCTACAGGGGTGCACTATGTGTTTGACATGACGATAGCTACGGATTTCAGCATCCTGGAGAGTCAGAAAGAATTTGTGCATCGATACCATCAGCACAGTGACGAGCAGCGCGTGCTGCCCATGCTGACGTCTGCCTGCCCTGGTGAGGCCCATTCCCTGGAACTCAAGCTGGGGGAGGCCTGGCGTGAGGGCTCGGCTGCCCGGTCTGCTTGGCCTCATGGACCAAGCAGGATTTTGCCATGTGCGCACATTGTCTTGTCCACCAGTGTATCTACTACCTGGTTAGTTTGGGGATGGCCTGACAGTTGAGGTTTTTGGTGTTTTGTTTTTGTAGCACTGGGAATAAAAAATAGTACAGTATTATCATACCAATTATGTGCCACCAAAGGTGGCTCAAGCTGCCTGTTGGGACAATCGTGCGTGTACCATGGTGCTTTCAGCCAACAGAACAGTTGAGTTCAAACCGGAGCCACCTGGCAGCAAGACAGAGTTACGGCTCTGTCGTGAATGTGTTAAACCAGTGCTGGTATGCTAGCTGGGCATTGCACTTCTGAGCCACACCGTCAGCCCCAATTAAGGTCTTGTATCATTTATACACACTTCTGAAATTTCTGAGGCAAGCATTATGATATTTTTTGTGTTTTGTTTTTGGTGATACTGGAGATTGAACCCAGAGCTTTTGTTTTTCTTGTTTTTTTTTGTTTTTTTTTTTTTTTGGTTTTTCTCCGGTACCGGGAACTGAACTCATGACCTTGCGCTTGCCAGGCAGGTGCTTTGCCACTGAGCTAAATCCCCAGCCCCTTGTTTTTCTTGTTTTGTTTGTTTGATTTTTTTTTTCCCCGTACCGGGAATCAAACTCACGACCTTGTGCTTGCTGGGCAGGTGCTGTGCCGCTGAGCTAAATTCCCAGCCTCAACCCAGAGCTTTTGTACTGAGCTACATCCCCAGTCCTTTTTAAAATTTTTTATTTTGAGACAACGTCTTGCTGTATTGCCTAGGCTGGGCTCAAACTTGGGATCCTCTTGCCTCAGCCTTTTAGCTGCTGGTTTTGGAGGCATGCACCACCAAGCCTAGTTTAGGGTCTGTTTTTTAGACCATTCATTTTTTAATTTTTGTTTTGTTTTGTTTTCCAGTACCGGGAATCGAACTCACAACCTTGCGCTTGCCAAGCAGGCGCTGTGCCGCTGAGCTAAATCCCCAGCCCCTTTAATTTACAGATGTTTTAATTACACTATTTTTAAACTTGTCTAGATCACTCTTTAATTAATTTTAGTTGGTTCCTGAAGTTTTCTTTTGAAATAACTCAGTAATGCACTCTGAATAACTTAACAGAGGCACTTGTTGTTTGTTTTGCTCGTTTTTTTTTTTGTTTTGTTTTGTTTTTTTGTACCAGGAATTGAACTCATGACCTCAGGCTTGCCAGGCAAGCATTTACACCACTGAGCTATATCCCTGGCCCTGCTCTTTTTTTTTAAGGCAGGTTTTTGCTATGAAGTTCAAGCTGGTTTTGAACTCAATACCCCAGGCTAGCCTCCAACTGGCAGTGATCTTGCTGCCTCAGCCTCCTGAGTGCTGGGTTACACACATGTACCACTGCAGCCAGCTGAGAGTAAAGGTTTACTTGCTGCACTGTTCAGAAAGCTGGGAAGAGGGAGGTCTGGGGGTTACTTCTTGCTGGTGGGAGCTCAGCAGTCACACGGCAGCATAGGCTATCACATGGCAAGGCAGAGTGTCTTAGTTCAGACATCCACTTCTGGGGCCCCACCCCTATGGCTTCCTTTAGCCTAAACTAGTGATGGTAAACCTTTTAGAGATGAGTGCCCCCACTGCAAAATCCAAAACCCATTTGTTTATCTCAGAATACCAACACTGCAATTAAACCCAAATAGTGAGGTTTTAGTTTAAAAAAAAAAAAACAGCTCATACATTTACGTCTTTCATCTTAAAAGGAAAATAACATGCATTTTATAGGTTCACCACCACTGGCCTAGATGATTTCCATACATCATGGTTGGATTAAGATTCCACCTTTCAGTATCTCACAGTAGGGGTTAAATTTCAATGTGAGTTTTGACAGGGACATTCAAACCATATCAGGTATAGAAAATAATTATCACAGACTCTTCAATTCTGGAAAAAAGTGGAAGGTTTGGGATTAAAAATTTTTAAGACTGTGCATAAGAGAGGAAGAAAGAAATTACTACACTGGCAGATGATGTTCACATAGAATGACTCTACATACTCAGGTTCGTGAGTGTAGGAGACCTACGCTTCCTAAGCTGGCTGTAGGCTCTGCAATGTTCAGGGTTTTGTCCATGTTTCTATTCTCCCTTAACCTCATAAGGATTTCACATTTTTCTAGCATTATACATGTCAACCTTTAATCATGAGGATTATGAGTTCATAAAATAAAATGTTGGCATAGTTGCTGAGAATCTGGAAGTGCTTTCTATCCATTTATAAAACCGTGAGAAAATTGTCCCTCTCCATGAGGCTGCATTGGTTAACTCATTAACCAAGCTGTACTTCCCGTAGTCTTTGGCCTCTTCTGGTGGAAGGTGTTGGTTATGAGTTCCAGGTTCATGGCTAGTCTGGGGTTGGGACTCCCAAATCTTTGTGAGAAGTCTAAGGTGGACGTGGTGGCATGTATCTGTGGTCCTAGCTCCTCAGGAAGACAAGGCAAGAGAGTTACCTGAGCGCAGGAGTTCCACACCAGCCTGGCATCATAGCCAGCCTTTGTCTCAAGGAGGGTGGCTATTACTGGGGATTCTGGTTGGGATTCTGGTGGGGATCAGATTCAGCCCTTCCCTCATTCTGGATGTTTTTGCAGGGACAGATACCACCACAGCTGAGAGCTAGGAAAGCTCCTGGGCTCCTGGGTGATCTGTGGAGGTATCTGATGTTTGTGTCTCCATCTCCCATGAGCACCATTTTTTTCTTTTAAGACCCTACATAGGGTCTCACTGTGTAGCCCAGGCTGGCCTTGAACTCACAGTGATCTTCTTGCCTCAGACTCGCAAGTGCTGGGATTATACTTGTGTGCTGCTGTACCACAACCAGTTTGAGTACCTTTCTGGGGCCCATCACATGATGCTGCAGGCAGTGTGGCTTCTTAGCACAGGCTGTTGTTCAGATCTGCCCCACACAGGAGGAAGAGGCAGGCTCTTGGGGTTTTTTTGCATTTTTAAAATCTTTATTAGTACATTTTAGATATATCTAATGATAACATTCATCATAGAGAATTTATACCTGTACATGATATATCTTGCTGCTTTTTTTCCCATTCCCCTCCCCTCCCATCAACCCTTCTTCCCCTCCTTATTTACAAAAGCTTTGTTTGCATTTTTTTCTCCTATTCGAAGAGGCAGCTTTACAGCGTGAGAAACACTCATCCCTGTGTTCACACTGTGGTTCCAGTCAGCAGGGTAATGCAGGTGCTGTCTAAGCAACAGACTTCCTGTTCCTCGTGTGCAGACCCTGCTGGGGGAACCTAGGATGGAGCACTCAATTCACTGGAAAAGCTGACATGCATATAGTTGATTCATGCAGAAACCAGCAAGCCTTCCACCCATGGCAGTAAACAGAGCTGAGTGGGAACACATGGGACAGTGTTTCTGGAACTGTGTCCCTGAACTGTGTCCCCAAGTCACCAGCTACAGACCAGCTCATTGCCACCTGTCCTACTTTAGCTTGAGACTTGCTGCGTTTCAGGGCCTCCTTTCTGGGTAATAGTGGGTTTTCCTAGGTTTGCATTTTTTCCTCCTATTCCTAGTTAGCCAAACTAACACTGGGTGAGGGTTATGCCACCTCGCAAGTTCAGGGAGAGGTTACTGACTGCTGGTTCAGAGCTAAAGCTTTACCATGCTCTGTTGCTGACAGATAAGATAATCGAAGCAACCTTAAGTCAGTCGACTTCACACAGTACCTGGAACTGGGACCTTCAGTGATCATGTACTGGCTCCCTGGCTTGGGGCACCACAGCCACCTGCAGTCCCTCCTAGGAACTTGTTAAAGAGCAGCTCAGACAGCCTGCAGTTGTTCTTGGCTTCTAGTTCCCACAGGCCTCGGGTGCCACACTGCTGGGCTTTAACTTTGTCCAGTGTCCAGCACAGGAAGGGGGATGAATGGTTTCCTGGGATTATAGGCGTGCGCCACTATGCCCAGTTTCATCTTCATTCTGACAGGGAGGGTCTCCAGGAGGCCAGCAGGCTGACTAGGCACGGACCACAGTCTCCATGGCAGGTGCTCAGTAACAAAATCGGATCAAAAATACCCTTGAGCCAGACATGGTAGTGTATTCCAGTAATCTGTGCTAGTCAGGAGGTTGAGGCAAGAGGATTACACGTTTGAGGCTAGCTAGAGCAATTTAGCAAGACTTTGTCTCAGAATGAAATGTATTTAAGAAAGGTGGGAATCCAGGCATGGTGATACACACTTGTAATCCCAGCACTTAAGAGGCTGAGGCAGGAGGACTGCCGTGAGTTCGAGGCCAACCTGGACTACATAGATACTGCCTAAGGAAACTGGAAAGAAAAAGAAAGGTGGTGGCTAGGCATGTAGCTCAGTACTGGAAGAAAAGCTGGCTGTCTGCTGTTGGTGGGCTCGAGTGTGAGGGGCACATAGGAACCCTGGGGACCTGGACTTCTCACTGCCCACCTTGTCTCTGCTGTCATGCTCAGCCAGCCACAGTGGCCACCAGCCATCCTCTTTGGGCCTAGTACTGACCTCTGTTTTGAGGAGTTGTGGGGGTTTTTTGTTTGTTTTGTTTTTTTTATTTTAGTTTTTTTGAGACAGGGTGTTGCTCTGTAGTTCAAACTCACTGTGTAACCCAGGCTGGCCTCACATTTGCAACAGTCCTCCTGCCTCAGCCTCCCAAGTGCTGAAATTACAGGTGTGTGCCACCACGCCCAACTTTCTTGTTTTTGTATTGGATTTGGGTTTGTTTTGTTTTTTTGTTTCACCTCTCACGGTTTGCCTGAACTTGCAGTGCTTAAGGCCTGCTCAGTCTTCACTCAGCTCCCAGTAGGCTCACTGCTGTTGTCCTCAAGAGCCCGTGTCTGGGGCCTGCTGGCACTAACTTCTGTTGTATAGTGAAGAACAGGGCACAATGACTCTATTTTCCCTTCCTAAACTGCAGAGCAGAGGTGGGCTGAGGGGCCATCCCACTGCCTGCAGCACCTTTGAGTGGATTCTGTCACCAGGTATTTCCGGAGCATTCAGGAGCATTCGTACTAGTGACACCAAGGCTTGAGAGTTTGGTTGCTGCTGTGGGGTTGTGGAGCCCTAGGGTTTCTCCCGCTCGGGGGTCTCAGTCTCCAGCATCTTTCCCAGCAGTAGCTTGCTCTGGGCTCCAGCGCCCCCCTGCTCACGCTGCCACGTCCTCACATGCATAGGAGGTTGTGCCAGTGGGTTTGGTCACAGCACTCACTGCCTTCCCTCTCCAATTCAGCCCACAGGAGGATGGGGCGAACCTGGTTCCTGCAGTGGACTTGGGCTGCGAGCTCAGCTGGCCTTCTGGTCTACTTCTCGGGAGGCAGGAATGAACCATGCAGAGCAGAAGGGAGCACAGTGCACATTTCATATTGGTAGTTTCCTTAGGGAGTGCAAATTTCATTGCTCTAAAAAAAGTGGCCAGTCATAGGGCTCTGTCTAGCTGACTAGCACAGTTTGGTAAGCGTGTAGCTTCTGCTTTCTCCTACCTAAGCTGTGGCTACTTGGCTCGGTGTCACGAACCTCACAACTGGTGTGGTGGATTTCTTGTTGCTGACCTGCTAGTTGCTTTGTGGCTACTCTTTGAAGCTTGTTCTCTTTCCCTCTTCTGGGGGACTTGCTGCCCCAGCTCTCACGTCTCTCTCATTTGGCACTTTCCCTGTGGAGCCTGCAGGGAACTCCCATTTCCCAGCAGCTTTGAGTCTTGACAGTTCCTTGGACCCACCACTGGGCCTCAAAGGATAGCTGATAGGTCCGCAGCATCTGCTGGGGCCCCTGAGCAGGCCTGGTTCTCCCTGGGCTGAGGGGCCAATGACTGACCTTGTGGACTCTCTCCCTCAGGCTGGGTCCGATATGCTGAGCGGGTGCTGGGCCGCCCCGTCACCCCCCACCTGTGCACCACCAAGTCCCCACAGCAGGTCATGGGCTCCTTAGTGAAGGATTACTTCGCCAAACGGCAGGTAAGCTGAGAGCGAAGTGCATGGGTCAGGAGGAGATGACCCGATGTGCAGGGTGGACTGTCCTGGACCAGAGCCTGCAGTGCCTTCTAGCCACATCCATCTGTGTCTCACTTTCATAATCTCGGCCTTTCTCTTTAACCTTTTCTCCTGGACCCTCTACCTAGTGTAGAAACAGTGGCCACCTTAGTGAGAGAAGGCGGCCCCGGGCCACCTCCGGAGACACTGCTGCCTGCTTTTGTGTCAGTCTCCCCTGGGGAAACCTGGCAAGGGCCCCGGGCTGCTGTCACTCATGGAACCATATGTCCCCTCTTTCTTCACTTTTCCCTCAGACCACAGGTACCACATGGCTCCCTTAGCTACTTCTGTGCAATTCTGCCCGAGTCTTGGCCCTGTCTTCCACATGATTTCCAGAGTGGGATCCAGCCTGGGGTTCCTGCTTGCCCCTGCCAGGCCTTCTCCTCCTCTGCCCATGGCCTGCAGCAGCCCGGGCCCTGGTTGGCTCCTACTGACCTTCCTTCCTCAGAGGAACATATCTGGGCATTGTGACTAGAAAAGACAGCAAAAGCAAGGATCTTCTAAACTCTTGGAGCCGCACATCCTGGAAAGCCTTGTTATTTTAACATAGGGGATGTTTGCTGTTTTCCTGCTTAGCTCACAAAGTCACCAGCATTGGCAGATTACAAACATGCTGTCAGGGTGTGTGTGGAGTTGAGTGGGACATTTCCCCTTCCCTTGCCTGCCATCTCCTGCTGGCATCCAGAGATCTGAGCCTTTTGTAGATACTGCTAGGGACAGTGAGCCGGAGCCTGGCCTCAGGCCACCACTTGCCTAATTCCCTTGCACCACTGTGGCTGAGGCAGGTTTCCCTGGGAACTCTGCTCCGCCCTACTGCAAGGGTCACTTGATCACTGCTGGCTCCTGCTTTGCCCAATTGTGGCTCGGCCTAGGACACCTGATTGTCTCAGCACCGCCTCCAGAGAGGGGTGGCCGAGGGTGTAACTTGAGCAAGAAAGTCGGCAGGTGTACCAGATAGAGCACACACCTGCCTTGCTTGTCTTACCCGTGTACTCGGGCTTAGGAAGAAAAGGGCTCTGGCTTCCTGGTCCTTTCTGGGAGGCTTCTTGGGCAGCTGGGCCTCAAGGAACCCATTGTGCACACAGCTGTCTGGAGTGAGGCAGCACACATACATGAACTGATGTGGTGCCATGGGGAAGGGGAGCCCCGCCTAACTGTGGGGAGACAGTGCCACAAGAGGTGGGGTAGGGCAGAGGATGCCACTCTGCATTCCCTCAAGCCTTTCTGCTCTGGGCACCAAGGAGAAGCTGCTGCGGTTGCTTCTGCACCAGCCCTAAGAATGGCATGCTCTGTCCACAGAACCTTCCTCCAGAGAAAATTTTCCATGTTGTTGTGGCCCCTTGCTATGACAGAAAGCTGGAGGCTCTTCAGGAGGGATTCTCCACTGCTTTGCCTGGTGCCCGGGGTACTGATTGTGTGTTGACGTCAGGTAAGAAGTGGGCAGTTACGCCTGGACGCTGGCAAGGGCTCTGACTGGCCGGGCAGGGGCCATCTGTGCACTGACAGCTGAGGGTCCTCAGGTCTGATGTCCTGCCAGAGAAGAAAAGGGTGGCGTTTAGTGCAGCAGAGTCCTGTCTTCTCTGCACCTTCTTCCAGATAGGCAAGTGTCCTGGCCACAATCACTCGGGCAACTGGCCTGTAAACTCAGCCCATTTAACATAGTATCCCTGGGCAGAGAAAGTCACCTGTGACCCTAGCTCTCCTAACAAAATGACACAAGAGAAGTTTTTACATTGAGTACAGTGGAAAATAACACATCTAGCTCCTGTGACATGGCTGTCGGCCACCACACCAGTGGCACTGTCAGACGTTATTTTTAGTCTCCAGCTGGTTCTGTGCCTTGAGAGGGAAAGCATTTTTGTCTCGGGACTACTGTGTAGAAGGGAATGTAAAAAGTGGTTTTTATTTTCAACTGTTCTGATTGCACAGTAACTGCATATTGCATAAGCGCAGCATGTTTTGAATCATACACAAAAGATTTATGCTTGGGAACAACATGGAGCAGTTGTTCGTAGTTCCAGAGATGAAAGGGAAATTCTCTTCTTACATTTCATGGGTCCTTTCGGTTTTGTGCTACTTTGCTGTTGTGGCAGGCTGCTACTGTCTTGTCTGGTAGAGGTTGTACAGAGCAGGGACACTGTTACTAGTGTAGAATGTCCTCCCAGGGAAGAAGAGCCTGGGCCATCTCTCCATAGTGTCCTCATGCCTCTTGTCCATCTTCAGGTGAGATCGCTCAGATAATGGAGCAGAGTGGACTCTCAGTGAAGGACGCTGCTGTGGACACTTTGTAAGTGGCTTCTGCCAGAAGTCCTCTGGTTGCCTGGGCCTCCTATGGGCTCTTGGGCCACTCACCAGACCCCAGGCTGCCTTCCTTTTTGACCCAACCACATTGTGCCCTGCTGCCCCCACCATAACCCACAGTAACCTTTGTGGCTTTTTTAGTGAATGTGGTCGAGACTTGGAGGGGGAGGCCATTCACCAGAGCTGCCAAGGTCTCAGTGGGCTTCCCCTCTGATGGCAGCACAGATCTCGAGGTAAAAGGGCGGCACAGACACCGTGCAGGGCAGGGCTGCAGCTCACCCACCAGCGTCCTGCATTCTGGCATCCAGTGCTGTGGTTCCTTCAGCCCTCTGTACCCAGAGCACAGCCCCAAGGCCTGTAGCTCATGCCGCATCTGGGCGCCATAGAGGGAGCACTGCATTGCCAGCTGCACATCCTGTAACACTGGGCTGGGCTGCATTTGTGCCCTTTCACAGGAGGTGGGACTGGCTAGAGCTGCCTAGCCAGACTCCAGGAGTCCTCACGCCAGCCTGCATGCAGGCTGGCACACTTTCACGTCACACTCAGATGTGCAATCCTTGTCCCCCCATATCACATGTAGCTAGAGAAGGAGAGCAAATTAATGAACCAACAGCGAACATGACCTTGCCTGCAGTCTTAGGTGAGATACAAAATGAAATTTCATGTCAATAATTAAAGCTCAGTGCAGTTTTCCTCAAAGTTTCTGGATTTTTAAGGATTTAGCTTTTTGAGTGGCTGCCTTGTATCCTGATACTTTGGAGTCTGGGTTCCTCCTGCTGTGGTTTTTTTCCTCAGCATCAACAGGGGACTTGCCTTCTGTCTGCCTGGCCAGGGTTGGAGATGTGAAGGATGTAGCTGTGAGGCGCCAAGATGGAGCTGGCTCAGATGGGCACCTGGCACACGTCTTCCGACACGCAGCAAAGGAGCTGTTCAATGAGCACGTGGAGGAGATCACCTACTGCTCTCTGAGGTGCCAGAGTAGGGCACGGGAGTGGGTTGTACTTGGGCTGTGGCATGGGAGGAGGCTGCTCTGCCAGGGTCTATGCCCAGCCTTCTGTGTTCACCTACAGCTCTTGCTGACAGTCCCAACTTGGACTGAAAAATGGCTTTCAAGTCAGGAGGACTCGACAGTATCCTTATTGTTCATTTCACAGAAACAAAGACTTCCAGGAGGTCACCCTTGAAAAGAATGGAGAGGTTCTATTGCGTTTTGCTGCTGCGTATGGGTTTCGGAATGTCCAGAACTTGGTCCTGAAGCTCAGGAAGGGCAAGTTCCCATACCACTTTGTGGAGGTCCTTGCATGTCCTGGAGGTGAGCACAGTGACAGCCCTGCAGGCTGGGGGTGCTCTCGCGCTGGTAGGGAGTCGTCCTCAACCACTTGGCTCCCCTCCCCATCATGAGGTGTGAAACGAGGACAAGTGGACAGGCTCAGACACTCGCTGGGGGATGTGCCACAAGGAAGCCTGCACCCATGATGCCAGGCGAGCCTGCTCAGCTGCCCAAGTGGAGTCCGGAAGGGAATGCTGCAGCTGGGTCTGGTAGCACAGGGTCCGGGGCCAGGGAGCCAGTCCTGAGGGCCTGTGAGAGAAGACAGTGGGAAGAGCATGGGCTCACCATGGCTCCCTGCTGCTGCAGAGGGAGATGGGACTATTGTAGGCTGCAGTGACCCAGGCAGGTGAGGAGAGAGTCCCAGACTGTGTGAGGGCACTGAGAGAAAAGTGAGGGGAGGGAAGGGCCATCCTGGAGGCCTGCACATGGCACAGGGAGAAGGCAGTCCCGATCCCTGCTGGTCATCTTCACCTCTGAGTGGGGACAACATATCACTGAGGGTGGAGGAATACGGGAAGCAAGCAGAAACTCGGGCAGACAGGATCACTGTGACAGAGTCACAGCATGAGGTGGGCCATCGTCCTGGTCCTGGTCCTGTCACCCAGGGATTGTGTGGCAGAAGGGTGCCAAGGGCTTACCAGGACAGATCTGGGGGCTGTGTGGGGGCACAGACAGGAGGTTGCATCTGCACATCTGAGAGTAAGCAGTGACCAGAGGAGATGTTCGTTTGCTCTGAGCTTCCGTCAGCTCTGGGCTTGCCCATCCCCATGCAGCCCAGGACAGGACCCACACGCTGAGGCTGTGCAGCGACTGCAGAGGTCATAGCCAATTGGTAGCTCCCTGCTGTCCTGGCTAGGGTGATTCTTAGGGAGGCCAGGAACTCAGATTTATAGGCCAAGCTTCCCAGTTCTAAAAGGTTATGGTAAAACCATGAGCTGGTTTTACCCTTTTCTGAGTATAAAGAGAGGCACGCGGGGCTCTGATGTGCGGGAGCCCAGCTCCAGGCTCGGGCCACGAGGCTGCGTATCCCTGTCCTTCCTCCCCCGCCCTGATACTCTGCCTCTGAGGTGAAGCTTCGTGAGACCCGTCCCACCTGTGTGTGTCTTCTAGGATGCTTAAATGGCAGGGGCCAAGCACAGACCAAGGACGGACACATGGACAAGTCCCTGCTGCGCCAGATGGAGGGCATCTACGCAGACATCCCTGTGCAGCCTCCTGAGTCCAGTGCACACGTGCAGGAGTTGTACCAGGAGTGGCTGGAGGGCACTGACTCCCTCAGAGCCCGGGAGACCCTGCACACCACCTTCCAGAGCCCGGAGCGCTGCACCACCAGCCTGGACATGAAGTGGTGAAGGAAGTCGGGCAGCAGGGCCAGCTGTGAAGTAGGAGAGGACTGTGCTGATGAAGAGTTCGCCCTTCAAGGAAACACCAGTGGGCTGCTCTAGTTCTCAGTGCTCTGTTCCCAACGTGCAGCAGCGTGCAGTGCTGTCTTCATCGTGAGTGTGTGGAGTGGAGTGTTCATCATGGGAGAACCTCCCCAGTCTAAGTGTCCCTTTATTGTAAGATTGTGAGAAAAATCCCAAAGAGCGAGAACAGAGAAAGACGACTGTCTTCTAGATTTGAAAAATTTAAAGTGTCCTGTGAGGAGCTGAGGCACTGGGGTGACCACTCTGACACTGCAGATGAGAAACGGCCGCAGCGCTGTGCTGTGGTGCCGGTGACACTGCCGGCCTCTGGGTCATCAGAGTAGGTTGTACTTATTCCCGCTTCCTGGCCCAGGGTGGTTCTCATTTTTACTTGTACACAGTTTTGAGAATCATTGTAAGTTGGCAACACTGCTGGTCCCAGCACAGCCCTCCTTGTGCTCCTGATGGCCCCACCTTGGCCCACTGCCCTGCATTGTGAGCTCACCTTGAAAGGAAGCAGCGTATCCAACAAAACTGGCTGCTGGAGACAGACCCACACGTCCTCTGCTGCACTGGGATTGGGTTCATCCTGGGGTACAAGCACCTGCAGGGGCTGTGGGGTGCTTGGGTCTGTTGATGTGTGATGGCCTCAGCATGTTGGGTCGCCTTCGTCCTCTGTTGTGTACCTGTTTGGGTGTAATTGGACATGTGTTAAATTGCATTTTTTGTTTTTGTTTTGTTTCCTTCCCCTTCAGTCTGTATATAGTTGGGTGTTAATCCCCCAAACTGATATGAAATAAACTGTTGAAGAGAGAGGAGCCAGGCCAAGTCCAAGCTGGGCAAGCTCATGTGGTCCCTGGGCCTCTGCTGGTGTGGGGTCCATGCGCTGTCTTGCCTCCTCTAGTTGATGTCCAGCTGGCCAGGAACAGTGATAGGGAGAGAACCACCTGCCCCATAACATCACGCACAGCCCAGGGCGGTGGGAAGAGGCCTACTTTCCCTCCATTCTCACCCCCACCATGTGAGTAGTTGGTCAAGGGGGTGAGGCCTGCTCAGGGCAGCACAGCAGCAGAGTGACTCCTGTGGATGATGTCTACAGGTCAGAGCTAAGTGGGAGGACAAACCTGGGTTCCTGTCCCGCTCCACACTGGGCCTGCCCTCTGCTGTTCAGTGCCTGTGGTCTGGCAGAGCCCGGATTTCTCAGTCACACACACACACACACTGGCCTGAGAGCTGGGACTCTCTCTGCCAGTGTGGACAGCTGTCTGTGCTGGGGCTTGCTGCACTGTGCCTGAGGTGAGGGTAAGCAGTCACCTGCTATTGTCTGCTGCTTCTGTTTGGTGCTAGCCTTGGGTGTGGAATAGGACAAGCTCTTAGGTGGTGGCTCGCTGTGACGGTGTCCTGTGGTCTCGCTCATGTGTGTGGTCATGTGGCCCTCACTCTGAGTCTGGGCCAGATGTGTCTGCTGGGGGAGCTGGAGCCCATGTTAGGGCCACTCACCCCAGCACTTACCATTCCACACTGTCTCTTTGCACACAGCATTGGAGTGTTTTCCTAATTTTGTTCAACATCTGTCGAAGCAAGTAACACTCTGATGGTCAAGAATTATGATTCTATGCTGCAGAGACCTTGTTGTCACCTTGGCATATGGGTGAGGGAGGGACACACTTTTTTTTGATGTTGTGAGACTTTTTTTGATGTTCCTATGTCATTCAGGCTGGCCCTAAACTCACTATGTAGCCCAGGCTGCCCTTGAACTTGCAGTGATCCTCTTGCCTCAGCCTCCTAAGTGCTGCATTACAGGTGTGCACCACTACAACTAACAGGGACATTGCTTTCTGAGTGAGTATGAGCATGTGTTTTGAAACAAGAACATGTGCAAGGACCAAAATCTTATTCTTAGCCTGAAATGCAAATCATTTTTGGCCCAAAAATGGGCAAGGGATTTTTGTGAAGAATTAGGTCAGTAGGTGGTAAAGGCCCATATTCCCAACCTGAGCAGTTCAGCCACTTAGCAAGACTGTGTCTCAGAATTACAGTGGTCAATGTGCATAGCTCAGTCCAGAAACCCTCAATTCAATCCCCAGTGCCACTTAAAAAAATTATGGTCAGTGAAAAGAGTGGGAGTCCCTGTTGGAGGGAGGCATCAAGTGACAGCAAGCTTCCTGCACCGCCCCTAAGTGGCACCCAGAGGGGCAGACCCAGGCTCGCACCAGCCTTGTGCACGTGGAGGCTGAGGACCAAATCTAGTGTGTAGGCAGGAAGGGGAGGGGATAAAATAACCACACAGATTTGAACTCTGCTTGCTGGAGTCCAGAATGCTTACCATCACATGGAATCAGCCACTGCTGAGGAGGACACTGGCCTGTGGGCAGGACTGTCCAAGAGAGGGAATTCCTTCACCAGGAGGGAACTAGGAGATCAGCTGAGGGTGGTCTCCATCAGTCTCGGGTATGGGCCCAGCATGCTCCCTCTGCACCTCTCTGCTGCCTATAGTAAGTCTGGATCCCATCTATTGTGCTGGCTGCCTCCCGCTTGGGCAGCATACCAGGACAGTTGGATGGACAGCTGTCCATCAGCCGGTGTGGCAAGTGTAGTGTTACAGGTAAACTGAACCTGTGCTCTCCCTCCATTTACAAGGGAGATCTGAATTCCTGTCATTTTCTGCTGCTGAAAATGAGCCGGGAACTATGTCCTGCCTGGCCCAGTTTCCATCTGCCTGGACAGTGGTCACCCATCTGTGTAGTGGTAGTGGCAGTTGGATCTTGGAGAGGAAGAAAAACAGCATTTCTTCTATCAGTTAAAAATTGACTCCCAGTAAGGTCAATTATGACTAAAGGACCCTAGTTCTGCTGCCTCCCACTTCTTCCCAGTGGCCAAAGAAACTATTTCTACAGAAAACTGATTAATGTGTACACTAGCTGGATGGTGGCATGTACCTGTTAATCCCAATACTCAGGAGGCTGAGGCAAGACTGCCAAGAGTTTGAGGTCAGCCTGGGCTATGCAGAGTTTGAGCCTAGCCTGACTAAATAGTAAGATCCTGTCTCCAAAAATCAAAATAAACTGTCAAGAAATCTTGGTGTTTCTAGGTATGGTGGTACACACCTGCAATTCCTACAGCTTGGGAGGCTGAGGCAGGAGAATTGAGTTCAAGCTCAGCACAAGCAATTTAGAGAGACCCTGTCTCAAAACATTAAAAAAGGAAAATTGAAATCAGGAAGAAAGAAAGGGCTGAGGATGTAGTGCAGTCCTGGGTCCATCCCCAGTACCATTTTTTTTTTTTTTTTTTTTTTTACCGGGAATCAAACTCAGGACCTTGTGCTTGCCAGGCAGGTGCTTGAACCGCTGAGCTATATCCCCGGCCCCCCCAGTTCCATTAAAAAAAACTTGGGCTGGTGATGTAGCTTACCAGTGTAGCTCCTGTCTGGCAAGTGCAAGGTCCCGAGTTTGATTTCTGGCACCAAAAAAATCTTGGTGTTTTATGATTCAAAGAAAAATATTTTTATAGCCTGCATTATCAGTGAGGTATAGTCTATTCCTCCATGAACACTAGATGAATCCTCTGTGGAAAACTGTTTAGTACACAATCTTTTTTTTTTTTTTTTTTTTTTGAGACAGGGTCTCACTGTGCAGTTCAGGCTGGCCTTGAGCTCACTTTGTAGCCCAGGCTGGTCTCGAACATGGAACAGTCCTCCTGCTTCAGCCTCCCAAGTGCTGGGATTACAGGCATGCACCACCACGCCCAGCAGTACACAATCTTTTCCTAGTAGGGAGTAGTGGCACACAGCTGTAATCCCAGCACTCAGGAGACTGAGGCAGGAAGATCATTGCAAGTGCAAGGCCAGCCTGAACTGCATAGTGAGACCCTGTCTCAAAAGAAAAAACAAAAACAAAAACACAGTCTTTTCCTGTAAAAACAGTGAGACTTGGGCTTACAGCTTGCCCCTCCTGTGAGCCGGTGGAGGCACCTGAGGAAAGGGTGTCTGAAACTTTGATGGGATTGGAAGGACCAGGTGGGATGCCACAGGGAACTGCTGCCACTGGCTGTGTTCTTGTCATCCTTAATTTTTACTCACCCAGGGCTTCCTGCATGCGGCGCTAGTCCTCACCCACTGAACACCACCCAGCCTGTAGTGAGTCTTTCAAGAGCTGGGATAAAGGGAGGGGGGGCGACAGTGACCAGAGAGCTGAGGGAGGGAGCCCACTCTGGAGCTGGGGGCACCCTGGTCGAGGGAGGCTGAGTGGCCCAGGAAAGCTGCTTCACCTTCCCCTACCCCTGCCATTCTGTCTCACCACGGTTTCCCTCAGGCCACAGCCTCAGCTCTCTACCTCTGACTTGCAAGTGGCCTCAGTGGGAGCGGGGCAGAGGGGGATCCGAAGGGCAGTGTGAGACAACACATAGAAGAGCGCCCCAGATCAGACCAGCGCTGCCCAAGCGCTGTGGGCAGTGAGGCAGGGCCAGAGCCAGCAGGCAGGAACTTGGGCAGCACTGGCATGGAAACTGCAGTTTCTCCAAAGACGCTTTATTTTTATCCAGAGCTTCCAGGATGTTTGAATTTTACTCCTTGGAGAATTGTGAGCTTGTGGAGAGATGAAGTAGAAGTCAAGGAGCATAAGTTGGCTGGGTATGGTGTTGCTTGCCTGTCATCCCAGCACTCGAGAGGCTGAGGCAGGAGGATTGCCGTGAGTTCAAGGCCAAGCTGAACTACACAGTGAGAGCTTGTCTCCAAAAAAACAAAAGAAGCATAAATTTTATTATTTTAGGCTCCTTTGATAGCCACTTATTTCACCTCTGTATCTAACTTCGTGTGTGTGTGTGTGTGTGTGTGTGTGTGTGTGTGAGAGAGAGAGAGAGAGAGAGAGAGAGAGAGAGAGAGAGAAAGAGAGAGAGAGACTACTATTGGGGGAAAATCTTAAAACGTGTGTCTCAATGAACCTCTGCCCACTGTTAACCTTATAGCTGGGCATGAAGAGGCACCTGAATTGCTTGCAAGATGGCTTGTCTTCTTGGAGAGAGCACTTGGATTTTGCAGATATCCTTTCCCCCATTTTTGAGGTTCGCCTATTTGATGACCCTGCCTGCAGTGGTACCTCAGTTCACAAATTTAATTTGTTCCATGATTCTGGTCATGAACCAAATTAGTTGTGAATTGGTTGTGAACTGAATCAAATTTCCCCATAAGGCTCAAAGTAAATAAGGTTAATCCATTCTGAACCAGTTGTATTTGTTTGTTTTTGAGACAGGGTCTTTCTCTGTAATTCAAGCTACCCCTAACTCATGTAGCCCAAGGTGGCCTCAGACTCCCCAGTGCTGGGATTACAGGTGTGCACCACCATGCCCAGCCCAGGTATATTCTTTTTTGTTTGTTTTTTTGTTTTTTGTTTTTTTCCAGTACCGGGAATCGAACTCACAACCTTGCACTTGCCAGGCAGGCTCTGTGCCGCTAAGCTAAATCCCCAGCCCCCAGATGTATTCTTTTAGCCACAAAAAATATTTAAAAGTACAGTACAGTATGGAGAGAGAACACTGACCTTGCTTGAGGTGACCTCTGGAGGACAGGAAGAGGGCGCGCTCATTGTTTGGAAGGAGAGTCTCCATGAGGACATCGGGGAGGTCTTCAGGGGCTTCCTCTCATTGTTACTTAGCCAGAGGGTCGATCTTAACATGAAATCTGTCTAATGTCACTTGTCTTTTTCCTGCGCTGCATAACCCTCTAGAGATGAGGGACCAGATTATCATCATTTATCAGATTCAAAACTGTTTATTGGGTTATTCTGGGGTGACTCCATTTTTCCATAATGGGTTTTATCACATCAGTGTGAACCTCCTCCCTGTCTTCTTCCTTAGTGGAATGGTCTCAGCAGGTACCTTCCCACCTGCGCCGGCAGCACCTTTTTCCTCTTCGTGATGCAGGTTCTGTTCCACTTCATCTCCCAGAAGAGCCCTATTTCATAGCAGTTGATCACTTTTTGGGCAGCATACCCTCTGCCTTCATGAATTCTGCAAACCCTTTCTTGTAGGCTTCTGCAGCAGCCTTGTCAGGACTGGAAGCCTCACTACACCTTATCACACTGTAGACAGCACTTCTTTTGCTGAACTTATCAAGCCACCCTCTGCTGGCTCCAAATGCATCACCTGTGGCACTTGTAGAGGGGTTTCTTGCAGCAAATCACAGCACAATTTCCTGGCTGTTTCACAGGTCATAGCTTCACTGTTTCTCATTCAGCCACCCTAACAAAAGTTACTCACCTCTTCCAGTACTGGCATCCTCTGCCTGGTTAACATTGTTACTCCTTTTGCCACATCAGGTCCTTTGATGACATTTCTATTCTTCAAAACAGTTGAGATTGGCGACTTTCCCATCTAGTACTCTGAGGCCAGATCACTCACAAAGATAACATGCTGCAATTTCTTTCTTCAATTCAATGGTCATTTTCTTTAAAACCTTCTTAACCAGTCTTGCTCTGCACATTCTTCATTTTTGTTTTTTTGGGGATTTTGTTTGCTTTTGTTTGTTTCTGTCTATTTGAACAGAGTTGGACTATGTAATTGAGGCTGGCCTGGAACTCACAGCGATCCTCCTGCCTCAACCTTCCGAATGCTGTGATTACAGGGGTGCGCCACCATGCCCATCTTGCTCTGCCTATTTTGTCACCTTCATTACCACTCTACACTTTATTTTTACCACCATGCTTGCACTGCACTTTCTTTGGAGCCTGAGGGATTGAACAGTACTGTATGTGCTAAAAAGCACACAAAAGTTTCATAGAGCTGTCTGGAACTGAAATCTCAACTAGAGTAAATCACAGCCATGTGTCAGAGCAGGGAAGATGGCCATGTTCATGTTCACGAACAGAACCATTTGTGAATGAAAGTATCACTGTTCTTCCTTTTGGGACAAAAAAAAAAAAAAAAAAAAAGCTTGTGTAATCCCTTCATGGAAAAAACCATGTCTTTTTGGAGCTCTTGGTAGCTCAAGTTTGTATTCCTGAGGCACAGTCATTCCTGTTGACTATGAGTAAGTCACTTATTTTAGGTGGCACCACCAGGGTACAGGTCAACCCCTGGTGGCAAACGTCAGGACTGGCTGGTGACTGCAGAGCTGTGAGCCTGAACCCTGCCCACAGGGACTAAGGGATGCTGTCTGGGTCTGATAAATCCAGGCATGCATGAAGTTAGCAGAGGACAAAAGGAATGCTCTGAGCACTGCAGCCATGGCCAGTGTCAGATTCCATCAAACCAGACAGAGGGACTGGTGTCAAAGCCTTGCTGACTAAAGCCAGGCATGGTGGTGCATGCCTGTGATCGCAGAACTAGGGAGGCTGAGGTAGGAACCCTCCATGAGTTTGAGAGGCTAGCCTTCACTACATAGTGAGATCCTGTGTCAAAAAGAAAAAAACTGGGCGTGGTAGCATAATCCCAGCACTCAGGAGGCTGAGGAAGGATTGCTGCAAGTTTGAGGCCAGCCAGAACTGCATAGGGAGGACCTTTTCACAAAAACAAACTAAATGAATAAAAATAATAAAAAGACTTGCTGACTAGAGGTGCCAATGGATTTCGAAACAGGCCCAGAGAGTGAGAAGAAAAAGTCCTCATTGTGGCAAAGCCTCTGTCAGGTAGACAAGGCTGTCACCACACATCCATCAGACATAAGCCACCCTGGTGGTGGCTGTTCAGTAACCGTGGGGCATGGAAAGACTTGGCTCCCTCGCCACGAGCTGGTAGTGACCTGACGGCCACGGGGGGGGGGGGGGGGGCAGGGCGAGCTGCTGGACACACCTGCCCACGCGCTCATGGCCATGTGGTTGGTTTTTACTCACCCTGTGTCCCCACGACTACCAATCACAGGAGCAGCCAACAGAGAAAGGGGGATGCCACACGTGGGGCAGGACAGCAGGTGCGGGCCCATCACATGGGAAGCAGGTCAGTTTCCGCGCCTCGGCCCCGCCTTTCAGCCCGCGAACCGGCTGGCGCCTGCGCACTCAGCGAAAGGCGCTCTGGGAAATGGGCGATGAGCAGCGTTGGGGCGAGAGCGGCAATGTTGCTCCCAGCTCCTAACTGTTGCTGCCCTCCTGGCTCGGGCGCTTCCACAGGCACCGCACCTGGTCAGCACACCTGAGCCTGCCGCCTGCACGACTTGAAGCGCTCTCCTGAGAAAAAGAAAGCAGGAGTAAGCATTGGAGTAAGAAGGAATGAGGAGGCTCCAATTACACAAAATTGATGAAAACCACAAACCTCTCATAGTTGCACTCACTCGCGCTCGGAGGCTGAAGCAGGAGGATCGTGGTAGGTTCGAGGCCAGCCTGGGCTACATAATGAGTTCAAGGCCAGCCTGAACTACATAGTGAGATGCTGTCTGGAAAAACCAAAAACAACAAAAATAAAAACCTTCCACAGTTAACCAAACACAAACTGTTGGACATACCTCCCATGGTTTTCCTAAATTTTTGCCTGCAGGCTTTGCTTCTTGGTACTACAATGATTTAATGATACTGCTTTTTACGGTGATAACGATAACTCATTCTTTAAGAGGGTTGATGAAAAATTGTGAGGGGGGCTGTTGGGGACTATCTCTGGGCGTTTGCACTGATCTACAGCCTCAGCCCTTTTTTAGAGTGATTTTTCATTGTGAAACAGGGTCCCACTAAGTGGTCCAGGCTAGGCCTGAACTTGTAATTCTTTTTTGTTTTGTTTTCCTTTTTGTTTTTGAGACAGGGTCTCGCTCTGTAATTCAGTCTGGCGTTTAACTTGCGATGTAGCCCAGGCTTGAACTTGCTGCAGTCCTCTTGCCTCAGCCTCCCAAGTGCTAGGATTATAGGTGTGCACCACCACCCCGTTTGAACTTGCAATTCTGTCACAGGCTTGTAGAGTCCTAAGATTATAGGCTGTGGCCCCACACCCAGCTCTGCTCCTTTTATGCTCACTTCTGATCTTCCTATGGTCATTTTCTTGTTCTAGCACAAGAGTGGGAATTTTAGTAGAAAAATGTAGTCACAGCGAGCTAGTAATGACCCCAGTGACGAGTAGGATCACTCAGTATGGCTCCCAAGGCAGCTAAAGCTGGGTGGTCCAGTTTTATCTGCAATTCCTGGGGCAGAGTAGGGAGTTGTCCCTCATTTCTATGATACAGAAAAACATGGTTAAGCCAGGTGTGGTGTCCCACACTTGTAATCCCAGCAGTTAGGAAGTTGAAGCCAGAGGATCATTGCAAGTTTTTAGCCAGCCTGAACCACATAGTGACACCTCAGAAAACCAAAAATAAAAAGCACAGTTAATATATTTGGTAAGTCTCCCCTACAGAAAAGGTACAGGGAAGCACTTTAGATTT